CTAATAATACCTGAATAACAATCTTTATCAACGAAAYTCTATCAAATATGTGATAGGATGAACCGCAAGATCAAGACAATCAAATTTACGTCCATTTTAAAGATCATTAATCTCGGTTCATAGGGAAGCCAGTGCAATTACTTACTTGGCAATGGTGGTTTCGTTGAAGGCGTTGGTGTTGGTGGTGGAGGTGGAGCTAGAGAGATTGAACAACATGTCAATGAATGTTTAAAAAAAAGATACCGTAATTAAATAATGTCGCTAAGACTGCACACATAGGTATGCGGAGCACTGTCCTTGTTACGGCGAGGAATTGATGCTAACGATAAATATGATGACTATACGTTCCGTATTGCAAGACGTGATATTTGAAATCTTAACAATCAATCATTAGCATTCCTTGTCAATACCAAAATCATCTTTCTAAATCAATTTACCTTTAAAACAGCGTTTTGCAGCGTGTCTAATCTGCCTTCTGGTCAAAGCAGCACTGTAAACTTGGATACAGAACAGTCGTCCCCTGAAGTAGCGTCTATCCCCCTTTCGAACACCTATTCGTATGGGATAGTTTGTTGCCAAATTAAAGCGACCGATTTTTCTGGATGCAATAGGCTTTGAGTTCAACCAAAGAGTAGCTAGTCCGCTTCTGTAGTCATAACTGGCTCCAATGTAATTCCAAGCACGATAGTTGATAGGTCTTCGGTCAGAAGACACAGAATGTGTGAATTTCTTGTTTCGACGAACAAAACGTACAAACAGGACTCTTGGTCTCGTCATCCAGAGATGAACACCAAATCCATCAATGTCGTAATTGAAGATAGGACCTGATTTGCCTTCATGGTAAACCCAAGCAAGGATTGTCATTGAGCGCCGAGCATCCAGTTTACCTGAGTTAGGAATCTCGATGTAGCTATTTCGTTTACCAAGRAATTGGGTAGAACCATACTTGCGTCCGTCAGGGCCTGGGGCGTATTTAATGTTGAATACACGACCGTTGGGACTGCGCTTGATGATATCCACTCCTCCATGAGGTCGATCAAGTGGRAATACCGACAAAACAAATGGAAGTTCTAAATGCAAACAAACAAAAGTTTAATCTGGTCATATTCGATTCGACTAGATAAAGAATTACTGTGATGGCAGGTGAGCATGTTCACAATATAATGTATTCGCTCCTATATAATAATTGTTAATTCTTAAACATAAATACGAATTAAAATCATTTAAACGAAGAAGGAAACTCAAAATCTAAACACCCAAATAACATTATTCTGACATGCTATATTTCGCTGAAAGAATCATCAGGCTTTATCCTTTAAACCACTATTCTTGTAATACTATGAATAAGACACTTACGTGGTGGGCGTATAGTTGGTGGTGGAGATCCTGGAATAAAAAGCAATCAGTGAATAAGTACAACAAAAAACCTTTCGTTCCGCATATCACTGAATACCTTTGAGACAGATCTTTTCCAGTTTCTTTATCTGCGGGCCAGCCAAAGCCACATCAAACACCTGAACACAGGAGATGCGTCCACGGAAATATCTTCTGTCTCCAGTCTTCTTACCCATCACCGCAGGATGATTGGTTGCCAGTCTGATAACACCAATATTTCGCTGCACAACAGGATAGCCATTCACCCATAGTGTTGCTAAGCCAGTTTTATGGTCGTAGGTAGCGCCAAAGTAGCTCCATCTCTTGCGTTTCAAACGGCGACTAACAAGAGCAGGAGATGAACGTCCTGTTCGCCTTGTGAATCTCGCAAACAAGGTACTAGGAGCAATATACCAGATATGGACWCCCCAGAACCTTGGGTGGTAATGGAAGAGAGGACCACTTTTTTGAGGATATACCCATCCAAGTATAGTTATCGACTTTCTTGCATCGATACCACCATTATTWGGRAAATAAATAAAGCTGTTTGATCGCCCTGGAAAGAAGTATGATCCACGTGGCCAACCATCGGGGCCTGGTGCCTGCTGAACATTATATGGACGACCTGCTGGGTTTCGTCTTGGACCAACATCTCGACCTTTTGTTCTTCCATTTAATGGGTAAAATGCAATAGCTCTAGGTTCAGCTGTAAAAATAATAAAAAACGATTAAAATAAAAACGATATCAAAAATATGTTAAAGTGGAAAAACACCAAAAAATCTTACTTGGACCAGGACGTGTTGGCGTTGTCCCTGTAGCAACAATTTACAAAAGTTAGTTTTTTTTCAAAGAACCTAACATTGCTTACATAAACGCCACAAACAGTTCACTGTGCTGCACCAGTCAACGTGATCACARTATTCAGATATAAGACAMGAGAAATGTCTTTATTCCCACACACGAGAATATAATCTTTCAAGTTTTGTGCAACGACACGAATTTTCTATTCTCTTTTTGATGAAATCTAAAAAAAAACTTGATAATAGTCATCGGACCCTAATTATATGCACCAATACCTGGAGGTTTACAAGTTTGGTGAAGTATTCTACCCACCAACTGTTGGAGGTGGTCAAAGTCAATTTCAAACACCTCCTCTTCAGTAGAGGCCATTTCCACAAGTTCAGACTTTTTAAAAGAATGGCCAACTCCAACGGAAATAACATCAACTCCCCTTTGTTTCAGATGTTGTGCTGGACCTCGGACATCATCTGTTGATGCACCGTCTGTAATAACAATCAGCTCTTCTTTTCGTGTGTGTTTTGATTTGGAAAACAACCGTTGTTCTGTAAATTCTAGGGCGCGACCAGTTTTCGTTCGCCCACGAGATGCCGGGTACCTAATGGAATGTACGTTTACATGTTGTGATAAAAACAATTAAGTGCCGATTTCAGTTTATTCGAAGTAGTTTTTCTCAAAGAAAATCCTCTTTRTTGGAACTCTTTTTCGCATTAAAAAAGAAATTGGCCCATGTTAAAAGAATTCTCATAAGCGATATCTAGCATCAGTAGCCTTTTTTTTGTCCTAGAGAGAACCCAGTGTCGATATTCTATAACCAATATTACCTATATTACCACTGCGTTCCTATGGATTTGTAAGTCATTTATCCTGCAAGTAACCATTGCCATGCAGTGGTAAAATTGGTAAATAGTAGTTATACGATGTTACCGCTATGTCCTCTCCAGAAAATTCAATTTAGGAAGTGCAATTTAAAAATCAACAAGACGGAAGACAAATCAAGTAAGTATTTTATAGTCTTATTTCGGTTGGATAAGCCAGTTTTGTTTGTTTTCTATATCTGTTCTCACTTGACATYATTGAGAGCTTTCAATGCTTCCTCAGTAGAACGCGCCTCTCCAAATTCAAACACTGGTTGAGGTTTTGAGCCAAAGACAACTGCACCAACTCGTACTTCTTTTCTAGACACCGGTAATGAGCTGACAATGGACTGGACGAAGGCCATGATCAACTCAAATTTTCTGCGGCCCAAACTGGCAGAGCCATCAATCATAAATCCAAGATCCACTTCGCAGTGAGCTGATAACAAAYGGTGTATACGAAATATCAACAATACGTTTTGCATGATTACCGTTCGCGTTAACCAAGACAATATTTTCGATTCGTTAAAATAGATACTGRCATGAAAAATAAAATGAAATAAATACATCGACTACGTACTTAGTATTATTAAAATACAGTAGATAAGCTGGTTTCTTTGAAAAAGATCTATCAAAAACAGTTTTAATTCTAATGAAGTCTAATTTCAAGCTGAAAATCTCTCGCGAATAKGTTAAAATAAAATAATCAGCAGAACCTGCCTTGCGTCAGTTTTTATAGCTCGAGGTATATTCAATAAGACGAAATTCACAGAGACTTCGTGMAAGCTCGCGAATATAAAGGTGCAAGAGGAATAAGAGCAACGAGTTACACGCAGGAATATTTCTGAACTCGTASTTCAACAATTGTGAGGTATTCGTTCGCTTGTAATAGAGATTACATTTTGATTTGGTTTCGTTGTGGTTAAGAAGCAAATCATAAGGTTTTGGAAAGACAAGAGTCACTAACGCATACATCATTATTGACTTTGACAAAAATTAGCTGAAGATACCATAGAAAACCAKAAAATTATGACTAGAATTATGACTAGAATTACTAGCGCTTAGTTARTAGTTTTGCAGTGCAGACGACTTAAGTAGAATATTTTAATTTAATGTGTGTTATATGSACAACTTTGCCATTATCACATCGAAATTATCAACGCGAAGTAGTCGTAGTATGGAAGCGTTTTATTGAAGAGATAATCCCGCCTATAGCGGTTATGAGTGCCTCAAACTTTACAATCGCGTTCGGCGTTTACCTTGAAGTCCGTCAGCAAAAMAATTGAACTCCTGCGCAAGTCATATAGACACTACTATGGCACTGCTAAGCCGACAAGAGTTAGTGTTTATAGAGCTGAAACAGAAAATTACGGGAAATTGTTTGCAGTGATGATCAAGAGCCATTCATTGTTATTACAGACGGTAAAGGCCGTCCAGCACCATGACACCTGAAACAAAACAGTTGAGCAACAACAAATTCTGTGGCGTTTGTCAGCACCAGAGAATGGCCTCAGTAAAGTTATGTTTAGCGGTATCTAATGTCAAGAATCTATGTCAAGAAGTAAACTTGACTGCAGATATCTTTCACTAAGATTGACTTGGTTGTCAATTATCACAGGGATATAGTAATCAGATTTTTATTAGCAAGTATCAGCAGGTATCATTTGTTTCGTGGGTTAACGTGGTATGAATACCTTGAGACATGTGGGAACGTCTATTAWATGAGGAGAAACATGACTTGTGTAGCGATAGTGAAATATTCTGTTAATTTGGGTAATTATACAACCCTCAACAAAAAATTGTACCAACAAAGCTAGGCACACTATGTCGTGTAACTAGGTTGATCCAAGATCAAAAACTGATTTTATTGTTCAAGCTATATTGTTGGTTGCTACARCTGTTTAGCTGTTCTCATAGCTGTTCAAGCACTCATACATAAATAAGATGGCAAGCAAAACAACATCGACGTGATCAGCAGTATGACAAATGCCTTTTAGATCTTGATCAAACTAAGACTTTAATCAAACTAAGACCAATGAGAACAAACCTCTGTGGCTAGACCTGCAATCTACTATCCTTGAATAAGCGCCGTCATGGTTTAAAAGATGTTAGTGAGTATTTTAAGCTAAGATGAGATATAGGAAACCAGTGTTTAGGGTAACAATGTCAATACTTTAAAGTGCAAGTGGGTTTATCATGACGACGAGCGTTATTAATTAAACCCAAAAAGACCTCAAATAAGATAGCCAATAAGCCATTCACTGGAAAAAATCGCGCGCTTTTAAGATTGTAATTGATGTATATATGATGTAAGTGTCCAAAATGATGTAAATTTGATGTAAATGATTTCCATCAAATTTCCATCATTTTGGACACTTACATCATATTTCCATCAAATTTACAACCTTTTACATATAAAGTGAACGATTTTTTCCAGTGTTTTGTATACAGTGTTGAGCATTCGGTGACTTACATCAACAGAACACTTGATCCCAATTCATTCAAGCATCTTAAACATTAAATTAACTGTAAAAACATGATTGAATGATCTATTCGTACTTAAGAACAGCTTTTCTCATTACACGTAACCTTCCCTAATGTAACCTTATCACGTCAATTTGTAAATAGGCAAGTACAAGTACACATCAAACCATACCTGGMTTCTTTGTTGGAACTGTTTTAGGTGTTACAGCTGAAATTAAAAAAAAAATAAATCCAATCAGACATTGCTGACCTATCTAATAACTACCATTGTACAAAAGAGATTGCTGTACGTGGTTAAACCATCTGAACAGACCAAGATGGTGAAGAAAGATTTTATCTCTCTCCCATACGAAGTAGATAACAATTGTGGAGTTACTCATTGAAGTACATCTATCTAGAGAATAGCTTATGATATATACTCACGCTTGAGCCAGCACGCCGACATCCTTGCTTTGATTTGAGCACGATTCATGGCCCATCTGAAAACCTGCACACATGAAATCCGTCCTCTGAAACGCCGTCTATCACCAGGTTTCGCACCAATCACAACAGGATGGTTGGTGTCCAAACCAAATCTTAGTTTTCCAACGTTTCGCTGTGCTACGGGGACAGCACTTCGCCACAATGTTGCTAGTCCATTACGTCCATTGTAAGTACAAGTTACAAAATTCCATTGCTTAGGGATAATCGAACTGCTTTCTACGTGATGAACGTTCTTCCTCTTGCGTCCGACAAATCGAACAAATAGCTTGTTGACTCGTGTCAACCAGAAATGGACTGCAAATCCTCTTGGATTGTAATGAAAGAGAGGACCTGCTCTTTCTGGATACACCCACATCATGATTGTTATAGAATTCTCTGTATCTAAACAACCAGAATTGGGGATCTTGACGTAGCTGTTGCTTCTTCCGGAAAATTGAATGGCACTTTTTGGGTGATTATCTGGACCACGTGCAAAACTAATTCCAGAAAAAATTGCTGGAGGATTTTTGTTTCGGCTGAWGTCTTTTCTCTTGGATTGACGATTAAATGGGTACAAGGCAACTGCTCCCTTGTAGACAGGACCTAAAAACAAAACAGAATGAGTGATGGTGAGTTTATGGATGAACACTGCAAGCATTTAAAAACAATTTCGACAAGCGGTTAATGGAAGACGCTGGGGTTCTCTGCAGAAAAAAAATCAAATTTCTGAGAAATTATTTTATATCACAATAATCGATAAGTGACGCGATTAACAGTGAAACTCCCGCATATAGAGTTTACTAGCCTTTGAGGTTAACCTTTTCATTTTATGCAACGTTAACATGATATACATTTCACAGATAGGAGTTCCAAAGGCCTTAATATACTTTAAATCAGAATTCTCAATATTTCTACTGACTACAACTGAGAATTGCGAACTTTCMTTTTCGAATTTTTATTTTCTTACCTCGTGGTATGTTGCATATCTTTAAACTCAATGGGTTCAAAACAGAAGGCAACGACCTATACGAGACTATAGAGATAGACGTGATTGTCATTTGCCGAATCTGCCTTACGATGGATGTTGATGTTACAACACCGAAGATCTGAACACCAACGGTAATCAAGTCTTTGGATGGTCTGACAACACTGTCCACTGAYACACCGCTTGTCAGTACAATTAAGACTCTCTTTTGACCACATCTTGGTTTTCCAGTAAACACATATTTCCGAGTGTAACGAAGAGCGCGTCCAAGGTATCGTCTGCCACGTCGAATATTGATTCTGCGCAGAACACCATAAACGTTTGCTCGTCTTRYCGACTGGCGGAATGATATCAGTCTTCTTTGAGTTGAAGAGTAAATGACAACAGCTATACGTGCATAGCGAATACCAACTCGGAATCGTCTTGTCATTTCTCGAACAAACCGACGTATGTGAACGATGTTACGGGATCCAACACCAGTAGAAACATCGATAAGGAAACCGATGTATATACGACGCTTGCATACTAGAAAAAGTTAAAATAGATTTGAAGCATTATGACATATACAAGATTCCAGATGATTTGGGGGATACATGGGAATATCAATTCTTCGAAAACTAGCTTTTTCGTCATAATGCATCAAATACGTAACAGACTATCGGCAACAATTTAGACTTACATCTAAGGACATCATAATATACGCATTTGTCGCAATAATCTGTTTTTAGGTGCGCCATGGGATTTTAGCCCAAAATCGGATAAATTACGATGAATTAGATCTTTATACTAATAGCCCTGACTAATAGAGTACAAACACTAAAACTGTGCAACATAAATACCACTTACTGCCAAATTATGCTAATTCTATTGTTTTCTATTGTTTAAATAACACTGATTTGTAGTAAATAGTGGAAAGTGTTGCACACATTTAATGTTTGTACTCTACCGACAATTACACATCATCTTATGGCTTTGATTTATTCTAGAGCAAGGAGTAAAACCCAACGTCCAAAGGTTTGATAGTATAGATTTACATCAAAGAAAGTTGAGACTTACCTTTTGGCGGTGGTGGTTTAGGAGTTGGAGGCGGTGGCACTATGTAAAAAAAAAGTAAACAATCAAATGTTTTATATCAAAACATATGAGAGGATATGAGTAATGCATGCCATTTGTATTTTATGAACATATTACGTGTGTTACCTTTAAAGCATCTCTTCATTCGCATCCTAATTTGACGTGCATTCATTGCATACCCAAATAGTTGAACACAAGCAATGCGTCCACGGAAATATCGACGATCACCAGGCTTGGCACCTATCACTACTGGATAGTTCGTAGCAAGACCCAATGTAAATCGACCGATATATTTGCGCAATATTGGACGAGAGTACAACCAAAGTATTGCCCATCCAGTTCTRTGATTATAAGTAACGGTAATGWAGTTCCATTGTCCTTTTTTAAGTCCTCTCTTTTTAAGGTATGGGCTGCGTTTACCTCTGCGTCCCACAAATCGTGCAAACAATTSATTTCCTCTTCCAAGCGCCCAGATATGGAAGCCCCAACCTCCTGGTTTGTAATGGAAGATTGGACCATCTTTCTCAGGATAAACCCATGCAATGAAGGTAATGGACGATTGAGTATCCAAACAACCGCCGTTAGGAATGTACACATAGCTATGTCGACTCCCTCTGAAGTACAAAGCGCTCTTTTTACGGCCGTCTGGACCACGAGTGAACCGAACGCCGACCAACTTAGCAGATGGGTTCTTGTTTCTACTWGAGTCCTTTCCTTTAGATCCACTACTTAGTTTGAACAGAGCAACAGCTCCACGTCTCACAATAACTAAAATATATATAAAAAAATTAACTCGATGCTTGAAAAACAGGAAGAACGACACGGAAAAGTATGTCAAGCATTAGTCTCCTTCACGGTTCCAGTGCATCATGAAATGTTACCGTGCCTTTGCAGCGAAGCGAAACCTGTGAACAATAGTCTGTGGATGTAAACAAAAGCTTACATCATTGTAGACTCACAGGTCATCCCGCTTCGATGCAAAGGCATGGTTACATATTAAGATACCGAAAGAAACCGTGAAGAAGACTATTTCATCGCGATGTTGTACGAGGCAATCAGTAAACTMATTTGTTTCTTAATTAGTTTTCCAGCTCGAAATAGGCATGAAAACACCAATGAAAATAGCGCAAAGCATCCATTCAAAGGTAATGTTAACAAAATGCGCATGGTTTTGAGTTTTGGTATGTCCTCTTATTGACACACTCTTGACGTCACAAAATGTTCAAAACTCTAGTGGACCGACGAGCGCAGTCTAAAAATTATCGAAAATCATTCTTTTCTTTCAATTGAGCGAGTGCGCGAGATGTGATGGTGTCAGCACAGTGTGCATGTACATGTCCTCTTAAGCCCCGTCTACACGAGCAATTTTTATGTGACAACTATATGTGGCAATTTTTATGCGTCCGTGTGGACAGGCAGCAAATAATTGTTGAAGATTCGCGCCAAGTGTAATTTTGCACAGCGGAGATGCCAATAAACAAAGCAAAGTTGGTTGGTTTTAGCTCTTACAACAACAATAATACCATTCTCTCTGTCGATCCGGTCGTTCTGCTTACTATCGGCGTGGCCATCTTGGTTGGTGTGCAAAATGTTGAGACTGGGATTTAGTGWAACGTCAAAATTTTTAGTTGTCACATAAAAACTAGCATGCCAGCTTTCCAGCAACTACAGTCGTCACATAAAAATTGGCCAATTTTGCTCATCTACACGGGAAATTAAAAATTGCCACATAAAAATTGCTCGTGTAGACGGGGCTTTATTGACACACTCCAATCAGCGCGCGACAATTTACACGAGTGTGGTAAACTAGAACTGATTTTCAATAGGCTAAACTTCGTGCTACTAGGTTAGCCATTTTGGCCTCAGCGTTAACTTAAAACCCTAAATCAAGTCGAATTATTAGAGGTCTCTCACAACTTACCTCGAGGAGAAACGCAGATCTTTTGACTGAGGCGGTCTGCTACACCAACYAAGTTATTGTACGCAGACACCAACACATGCTGGATTGAGGTTGTTATTGCTCCTAACTGACGAAGAGAGCTTCTTGTGCTGGTTACAACAAATATTCTGACACCAATTGCCAKTAAGCCCCTACCAGGTTTGWAAACCCTGTCAACCGATACTCCACTACTGAGAAGTACCAGAACCCTTCTTCTTCCGCAGTTTGGTTTCCCTGTAAACAAGTATCTCTTGGTGTATGAGAGAGCTCTTCCGGTGTATCGTCTACCTCCCMTGTATGTGATTCTCTTCAACACACGGTAGACACTGTAACGTCCACGTACTTGGGTCAGGCTAATCACTCGTCGTTGTCGCGAAGAGTAGATTGTGATACCAATACGTACTCTATGCTGTGCTACAACAAAGCGCCGAACCATRTCTTTAACAAACAGGCGAATGTGTCGAATATTGCGTCGGCCAGTTCCAGACGATACATCAATAAGGAATACCACATCGATTTTACGATTGCAAACTAGAAAAAATGTAGTAATGATAAGAAAATTGTGTTCAATATTACACTTCATGAATATTCAGAAAAGCTGATGTCTTATCAACATGAATGGTCAAAGAAGAATACGAGAGAAGCTCACAACCACTTTCTAAAAACGTTTTCTTGATATTTGTCTGATATACATCTARCAAATAAAACTGAATTTTCTGGTTGTTATATTCCGGTTAAAAAAATCGATATATTGAGAAACCGAGCAGTGAGGAAATGTCTTACCAGAATATTCATTATATATTACCTTTGGGAGGTGGTGGAGATCTGAAGCAAGACTTCATTCTTATTCTTATTTCACGTCGAGTCAGTGCTCTGCGAAACACTTGAAGACAAGAGATGCGTCCACGGAAATATCGACGATCACCGCGCTTGGCACCAATCACTATTGGATAGTTCGTAGCGAGACCTTGAGGGAATCGRCCAATCTTTCTACTTAATATTGGAATAGAGTCCCGATACAACGTTGCCCTTCCATTTTTATGATCAAACGTCACAGCCACGTAGTTCCAGTTTCTTGGTTTAAATCCTCTTTTCATAAGGTATGGACTAGGTTTACCTCTACGCCCAACAAATCGCACAAACAACTCATCTCTTCTAGTCATCCATATATGGAAAGCCCAACCGCCTGGATTGTAGTGGAAGATGGGACCTGGACTATCRCAATACACCCATGCAATGAAGGTGAAAGAATATCGAGTGTCGAGACAGCCGCGGTTTTGAATATACACATAGCTGTTTCTACGACCACTGAACTGTATCGAGCCTTTTGGATGTCTGTCAGGACCATAGGTAAATCTAACACCAACTAACTGGGCCGCGGGATTCTTGTTGCGACTAGAATCACGAGATACAGCCGCACTTGTGAATTTATACCAAGCAACAGCCCCTCGTCTAACAATCACTAAAGATATATGAAAACAATATCATGAGCAAATCTTGATTTTTAAAATGGTTCAATTAACCAATCGGACAAGAGATATCTAATTCAGTCGTTCAAGATCCTAAATACTTCTCTTTATCTATTCCGAGTATTTTTGAGGATGATTTCAAAATGGATTCTATTCAGTAGTAATTGGTTATGATTCTATAGCATGATTTCGGCCTAACGAAATCAAACTTTCAAAAAAGAAGTGTTCGATTTCTGATTATACTGCACCCAGTTCAATTTCTGTAGACAAACAGGGAAAACAAGTACATAGTAAGGCATGAATATAAATTATTTTATTACCTTTAGGGGTATAGCATATTTTGTAGGCCAAGCGAGTTACAATGGTGATCGAAGCTCTGTAGGAAACGACGATGCCATGTTGTTTTGTAATTAGAACGGGTTTGAATTGGTGCATAGTTCTATAGTTGGTCATCACTGCGAATATCTCAACTCCTTTTGCATTTAAGGCTCTTGATGGAGAAACGACATTGTCCACTGAATAACCACTTGTGAGAACGACCAATACTCTCTTCCTTGCACACTCTGGCTGACCTCTGAAGAGCACATTCTTGGCATAATGAAGGGCACGACCAGTRTACCTTCGTCCACCAAGAAGTCTAATTTTTGGCAGTATTCTTACGACGTTGCCTCCCCATGTGGATAGACGAAGCAAGAGTCTTGGACTTGAAGTGTACATTATAACACCGACACGTGTTGTGCGCCTAGAGATATGGAAACGTCTGGCCATTTCCTTCACGAATGTGCGCACATATGCAATGTTCTTTTGACCAACACTATACGATACATCAACAACGAAGCCAATATCAATGCGMCGTCTGCAAACTACAAAACATATACACAAGTTCAATCAAATATCTGTCACATAAGGTTGTTGTTAGTAGTTATGGTTGAAGTTGTCCTTGTAGCTGTCGTTACATTAAATTGTAAATGACACTATTACTGGGCAAGAGGCAAAACTTGTTATTTTACTCAAGGTTTTTTCCTTATTCGACTGAGTAAAACACTAGAAGGTTTTTAATAAACCATGAAACAAAGGTACTAAATAACGTGTAATCAATCGTAACTGCGTGTTCCGTTGRATTGTAGACTACAAAAGGTTTATAAAAAGCAATATAAGTATCTTGCATATATTTTCTAAGAAAAATACCACACAATTCGATAAAATTAGTCACTTGTAGCCTACTTACCGACAGGACGTTTTGTAGGGCGGGTCGATGGTTTTTTGGTAGTTGGTCTGGGTGTTGGATCAGGAACTGAAGATGCAATGAATACTCATTAATTAAATATTACCCCCCAAATGAACTACATCTATAGAACACACAGGAGACAGTTAATCGTCAAATAATAGGAAAACTATGAATGTCTACTAGTGATAACTAATGCACTGAAAATTAGTATTACTGACTTATTTATATTCGCAATTTTTTTGAAATGGCKGTGATCAACGCACATTACATTCACCTTTTAAGAAGCATTTCTTTGAGACACTTGCGATTTGTGCGCGAGACAATGGATCACCGTAAACTTGAACACAAAAGACGCGTCCTTTGAAGCGTCGTCGGTCCCCATTAATGGCACCAATTCTAATTGGATGGTTTGTTGACAGTTTGATTTTTCCAATTCTCCGCGAGGCAACTAGTCTGTTGTTGACATAGAGCTTAGCAACGCCTGTTCTTTGATTATACGTTGMACCAACGTAGTTCCAGGCTTTGTAATGAACACTTCGCGAGGAAACGGGTGTTGTCATTCTTCCTCGTCGGGTTACAAAACGTACGAACAAAGYCCTTGGTCCGACCATCCACAGGTGGACACCAAAGTGCCTTATTTTGTACTGAACAATCGGTCCACTTTTGCCAGTATGATAGACCCAAGCCAAAATAGTAATTGAGTTTTTGGCATCAATTTTCCTAGTGTACGGGATCTGTACGTAGCTACGACTACTACCAGTGAAGCGAGTTGAGCCATCCCGRCGTCCATCGGGACCTGTTGCAAAGTACACACCAATTCTTCTTGCATTGGGGTTTCTGCTTTTGCTTATGTCTCGTGATCTACGTTTCCTATCCAGTGGATAAATGATCAGGGCCTTTGGCTCTTTAACTGTTACAAAATAAAATACAGTCACTTTTTGCTCTTTTTAATCATCATTCTCATCATTCTTGTCTTCTGAAAAAAGGCTGCGTAAGCTTTATTCTGCATATAAAATAGGTTCTTACCTGGTGGCCTTGTTGTGGGACCTAAAAAGTGAAAAATGAATAAATATCAATTTCAAATAGAATGCCTTCTTTTCATACTGTCTTTTTGATTTTTAATAATTTTCTCTTATTTCAATTTACATGTTAAAAAGCAACATATCAATTTCATGGAGACTAATGGAGTTGTCCACGAATCATTAGCATTCATACGTATTTTCAAGGGTTTTTCAAGAACCCCTGGAAACCATTTTTCAATTTCAGGGCTTTTCAAGGATTTCTATTAGCAACACGAATAGTGATTATTGACTATACATATAGTATGATATATGAGGATAAGGTCGGTGTGTGAGGGAAGCAATTTTCAAAGGCAAATTCAATACAAATGGATCTTTTAGTGATGTATGACTCACCTGGTGGTCTTGGAACTAAAGGGAAAAAAGGCAAAAACATTAGTTAACTATTTATAAAACATTTATATGTACAAAATGTATGCATATCCTATATTTGAATTAGTGTCAATGTAGAAGTGAAACGATAAAAGTACAAAAGAGATAAAAGAACTCTATAAATCGTACAACCATTAAATATTGCTGGATTTGCGATAAAGCATAATATACTCTTGCTTAACTGATGAAACTTATCCCAGCAGTCAATCATCATACAAATATCAGTCTGATGAAACGATGGACGAATTAAAATCAGCTTTCAAAAAAGGTCTTTTTTAGTTTTCGAGTCAGCAGCACGCATCGCAGAATAATGCAAMGGCTCAAAATCGTTTCGTAGAAATTTCTTTTGCTAGGATCTCAAAGGACAGAGGAATTACTTTCATTATATTTCTTTGACTTATTTTAACCTCCTTATCTTCATCTGAAGAGATTATTAAACGAAATCGATCTTACAACTAAAAATGTTTCAGAAAAGTGAATGCATGAAGGACAAAATCAAAACGCAAAAATAATGAAAAATCGTTAATATATGATTTTGTTAAGTGGTTGCGAGAAAAACAGAGGGGCACTTACAGCACACTTTTTTCTTCATTGAATTCACGATACGCTGAAGCTGGCGGAAGGCTGACAGAATCACGTGTTTGTTATCAGTAGCAATCTGGCGAAGCTCACGGATTCTCAACCTACGTCCAATACCAACTACAAATATCTCGACTTTCTTATAAACTTTCAGATTTCTGGCAGGTCTGGCAACTCTGTCTTGTGAGATTCCATCGGTAATCACAATAAGCACTCTCTTTCTTCCTCTAATTAAACGGCCATTGAAGATTCGCCTGTATGCGAAGGACAACGCCCTTCCTATTCTCGTCCCACCACTTGGGTATCTGATTCTACGCACTGCGCTCAAAACAGATGTCACTCCATTATATCGGTTAAAACCGAAGATCAGGTATGCTCGAGTAGAGTACAGTCCGACAGCAATGCGTGTCTTTCTACGTCCGATAGGAAGCCGTTTAACCATTTCCGTTACAAACTTTAAGATACGTGCAAAGTTGCCACGACCGGATCGCTCGATACTTCCTGATCCATCGATAAGGAAAGCAAGATCAAGACGCGATTTACACACAGCTGAGAGGGAAAAACAATAATTAGTCTCATCCAGACCTCGGATATGTTGCTGAACAAATTGCATCTCATGACGGTGTTAGACCATTGAGATACATTTGAGGCAATAAAATAAACTACCGGTCCGTTTTCTTGTACACAATCTTGACAAAATCCTCTTACATTCATGACTTTCCTAGCTATTGATATACCTGATGGTCCTGTTGGGCGAGTGGTAGGAGTTACAGGTCCAGGTGGAGATCCTGAAATTACAATGTTTGATATTAGTGATGAGCTTATTAGTAAATGATGTGAGGGAATTGTGAACTCATTTATCATCATAACTTACTCTGCTTGCTTGAAAATACTTATAGTATATCAACTACCCAAGGAAATATCCAAACGTCTGATATTTACTGAACAGACAATACAGTCTGAGCATGTGAGTTTAAATAAGTTTATCATAAGGCAACTTTTTTTGTCCGAGATATTTTTCTTATTGGCCTCTGGTATAACAATGAAATCTCGACTACTAAACAGCCAATTAGTACAGCACAATATCTTCCGATTTCATCAGAAAGTTGTGTTTTTATCAATAGACTTATTTTTAAATATTGTCGAACTCATAAGTAAAAGCTTGGTGTTAACTGGTATATAACTTCTTGTAGTCTAAGATATGTATCTTTATCTTTAATTAAAAGAGAATCATTATCATTCCGATATGTGCCATAAGCGCTGTAGTAACCAGGGATTGCAAAGAGATAAACTGAAAACTTTTCATGAAAAACCAGAGGTTTTATCGATAGTCCATACCTAAGAAACAAGTCTTCCTGGCTTTACTAATTTGATAGCTATTCAAGGCAACGCTGTAGATTTGTACACAGGCCACTCGTCCACGGAAGTACCGACCGTCACCGATTTTAGCTCCGATTCTGATTGGTCTTCTGGTTGCCAAAGTGATTCTTCCGATATTTTTACGCACAATGACTTTTCCGTTGACCAAGAGTTTTGCCCARCCAGTGTTGTGATTGTACGTTCCCCCAACGTAGGTCCAAGCTCTAAAGGGAACTCTATTGTATCCCACGAGAGGGGTCGTCATTGCACCATTTCGACGGACAAATCGTAAGAAGATGGTCCTTCGTGATGTCATGAAAAAGTGCAGCCCCCAGCGGGGTCCTGGATTATAGATCAAAATGGGACCTCTTCGTCCGCTATGGAAGATCCAAGCCAAAATAGTAATTGACTTGCGAGCGTCAAGTTTGCCGTAATTGGGGAATTCAACATAACTTGTCCTTGAACCTGTCAGTCTGATAGACGTTTGGGGCCAGCCAAAAGGACCTACTGCATAGCCGATGTTCTTGAATCGACCTGTTGGGCTGCGACGTCCACTGGTGTCGCGTCCACCATGTTTACTGTCGAGTGGGTATATGGCCAGGACTGCTGGAAGACCTACAAAAAGTGAAATTTCTCGGTCATTTCTATAGTTTTGTATTAAAGATGCAGACATTTAAAACATAGGGGTATTACAATTCATTAACAATCAAATGGTCTTGCTCGTTTCAGCCTTGTTTGTATCAATATTTGAGTTTTAAACCAGTTAAAAGTGTTTTCTTTGATGAAATWGTGGACTTACGTATTGGCGTTGGCTTTCCTGTTGGTCTGGCTGTAAAATATGAAAAAACAAGGAAGCAATTACAAAACTATCAGATGTTTAAAGTATGTCATATCACTGCGATAATATTGCTAATAGTAAAAGAACTAATAATTGAATACAAGATACCCTACCTCTATAGCAGTATCGCTTTAATGATTGTAGCTGATAACCATTCAAGGGAACGTTATAGATATGGAGACAGGCAATGCTACCACGGAAGTACGTATTACTCCTAGGTCTTCTGCCCGTGTACGCAACTCTGTCTGTGGCCAGATCGAACTTTCCAAGGTATTTCTGGGCTATAGGTGTAGAATCTTGCCAAATGGTTCCATAACCATTCCGTCGGCTATACGTCACGGCCATGTAATTCCATTGCTTAGGTCGAACACGACGAGAAATCAACCTCTTAATTATTTTACGCCTTCGAGATACAAAGTTAACGTTGATGGTATTGCTAGAAAGCATCTGAATTCCGAAGCCAGATCCGTCATTTTTGTATACCAGGACAGGACCACTGCTCTCGGGTTTTAACCAGAACGTAACTGTTATTGCGCTAACCGTATCAAGTTTACCGACAAACTTGATGTAACTATTTGGAAGCCCGCGAACTTTGAATGATCCCGCGGGAAGGTTGTCGGGACCGGATGTTGATTCGGCGTTGTAGATACGAGCGTTGGGGTTTTTATAGCGACCGAAGTCGCGTCCTTTGACAATTCCATTGAGTGGGTATATTCCATTGGCAGGAGGAGTAGCTAGAAAAGAAATAAATGTGTTTATAAACTTTAAATTGATAAAATAAAGCAATACATCGTCAAAATGGATAGTAATGAAGGTAAGTTATAGTGCTGAGAAAGAGATTAACTTTCGGAGAAAGAAGAGTATTATACTTACGATAAATCCTAGTTGGTCCTATTCAAAAGAATAAAAAGAACATAATTATTTTTCGTATTTCATTGATTTTTCTTATTGTTTTTTTTTTTTTTTCATAGGAAAACGTTTTTGAACAAAGTGCAATATTACCTGCAGTTGGTCCAGGAGTAGGCCAAGCTGAGAATAAAACGAAAAAGTTAGTGATCGCAATACTAAAAAAACACATTCGTAATGTCTTAACAAACAATCAATTAACAAAGTTGAAACCCATACGCCGAGCAACACAGGCTTATGCTAATAGAGCTAGTGTTCACAGGAAAGTAAGCGTGTGGGTGACAGATTTGTCCATTTTCAATAACTCTTCAATATACCCATTCCTCGTTATCAAAGCGATGTATGACATCGAAGATTAAATGATAAAGTCACGAAGCTTGTGGTTGCAGCAAGATATTTAACGAAATCGTAAAATATATTCTTAAACAGAATGAAAGCAGAGTGATACCTTTGAAGCAAAGTCTTCTTGCTAGTCTTATCTGCGCTACATTCAAATCCTTGTCATAAACCTGCATACAACTAACTCGTCCACGGAAGTACCTCCTATCGCCAATACGCACTCCCATTCGTGCTGGAGCATTGGTCGACAGGTAAAATCTTCCAATTCTCTTCTTGTAAACCTGAACAGCATCAACGAACAGTTTACCAACACCCGTGCTATAGCTATACGAGGCGCACACGAAGTTCCACGCTTTGGGTCGAAGTTTTTTACTGACTAAGCCAGCGGTATTCCGTCGTCGACGTGTCACAAAACGTGCAAAGAGAGTGTCTGACCGGATAACCCAAAGATGAACGCCAAATCCTTTTGGGATGTAGTTGAAAATAGGTCCAGTTGAGCCTTCGGGATTGACCCAAGCACACATAGTGATGGATCTTCTGGTGTCCAATTTTCCTTGATTTGGGAAATGGATGTAACTTCTCCAATTACCATAGAAGCGGTAGGAGTGTCCGGGTCTACCATTTGGACCAGGTGCTGGTCTCACGTTACCAAGGATACCAGGTGGATTTTTGCTTCTGCTAACATCGATACCACGATATGAAGAAGTAAGAGGATAGAACGCCACGGCAGGTGGAAGTCGCACAGCTAATGTGAGTAATTGAATAAATAATAATCAATTAATTCAATCAAAAGGGGCATATCAAGGGATTTCTGCATTAATAGCTGTACTTACTTGGTGGCCTAGTTGTAGGCTTACCAGTAGGTCCTTCAAAGCAAGAAAAAAACGTGTTATATTTATATATACAAAAAAGGCAAAAAAATGTCATCGTTCATTGAACCGCGATGATGTATACTTACTGTATCGAAAGCAAATCTTTTTGACAGCTCGGATTTCTGGTCCTTTCAATGCAACGCTGTAAACCTGCACACATGAGATTCGTCCACGGTAATACCTCATGTCATGTTTCAACGCTCCCATCCTGACGGGACGATTAGTTGCCAAACGGATTCTCCCTACATTACTTGAAAACACTGGGACGGAGCTTTTCCAAATCGTTCCAAGCCCAGTCCTATTAGACGGTAGTAATAAGGAAAGTGTTGAATTTGCTTCAGGAGTTCCAAATTAATTTAGTCATCTACGTTGCTGATTAGTCCTCTTCAGGGCCGCAGCTAGAAAGAGGCCAACCGAGGCACTCGCCTCGTTAAAACTTTGCTCATGCTTTTTGTTTTTCGTCACTGATATCATCTTAGCTTGATCTTAGACTGACTTACTTTCTCGGGTGAGAATGCCCCCGAACCCCCCTAGTTCATCCCGCCTTCTGCGGTCGTTTGCCTCGGTTATCCGTTCACTCTGGCTACGGCCCTATGACTGCTACGCCCATCGCCACAGAGAACTCTGGCCCTTTAGGGGTCAATTTTAATAACTCAGCAAGCATCCCCGTCCGTTTTCATTGTAATATTTATTGTTGAATATGCGACATAATCACCTATCACGAAATATCACAAATATGAAGATAGTGATATAAAGAGTTGTTTAGTCAAATAATTGACTATGTATCGTCCTTCATATTTGTAATCAGTTTTTCTTATTGGTTTCGATGTTTGTGTAATTTTTTAGTTTTCATACTCGTTCAAATAAAATTCAATACCATACCTGTGATCATACGATGCTGCAACGTAATTCCATCGATTAGGAATGAGTACCCGTGCAACCAAAGGGGTCGTAGAACGGCCATTGCGATCTACAAATGTGACCTGTAGACGATCGCGGCCAATGACCCAAAATCGAACACCTCGTGGGCTATAATGGAAGATGGGTCCAGATCCCTGGGGATAGATCCAAGCGATGATTGTTATAGAGTATGTAGCATCCAATCTACCATGGTTTGGGAACTCGATGTAGCTACTACGTCTTCCATAAAAGAACATGGATCCATCTGGTAGACCATCAGGGCCTGGTGCGGGTCGTACATTCCGTGGGACACCAGGAGGGTTAGTTGGGTAGGTTATGTCTTTACCATTTGTTTTCTTACTAAGAGGATAGATGGCCAACACACGTGGGAAGACTGGGATATGGAAAAATAACATTAGATAAATAATGAAACGCGGAAATTTTACATCAAATGCTTTACTAATAACTAACAATTATCAGGATTGGTAAAACCTACCTGGCCTTTTTGTAGGTATTGTAATTGGAGGCTTGATTGTTGGCCCTGAAATGCAATATTAAATTTTTATAAAAATGATGTTTTTGTTGTATTTTAATATTAGACCTATTTTTAACAACATTAACCAAAATAACCAAGCTAACAAAATGAAAAAAAATAATYAAGTGTTTGGGAATGGACTATTAGTTACATGTAGGCTCTAGTTCCAAGCAATAATTATTCTGCATGTTAAAGTGTTACTAACACTACAAGCACTTTCGCAAGATCATTTTAAAACACACCAATCTTTGCATAATTTTTGTTGAAATTTCTTTTTAGCTTAATCATTTCATTTAGTKGATCAACATTTTGGTAAACAAGTGTATTAAGACTATGACAGCAATGTCATTAAAAGATTTAAAAGATGAAAATGAAAATAAAGGAGGAGAAAATGAATTGAATAAAAGATAATGAAAAGACAAATAAAATTATATATAGAGCGGATTTCGTATGAGTGGGACACCGTTACCRCACAGTTACCGGACGTGGCCTTCACAATTTTGGTGAACCAATGGGGCACTAGAATTTGGTTACAGTACGATTATGGTCACAGTACAGTACCATCCGTTTCCCACTCATACGAAACTMGCTTTATCATGAAAAACGTCATGGAGACTTCCTTAGGGTTACAAGAGATCAAGTAATCACTGCACCTGTTATTGGACACAAGCATATCTTATGTGATGCAGGAATCAAAGCTCCTCCACTTCCTGCAATAACAAATGAACAAAGAATTCAATAAAATGCCAGGATTTTTCAGAGGTGGGTGGCTAACATCAAAATTTAATATTAAAGTACGTTACAATCAATTTTACTCTTTAGGCTCAATGTGAAATTATCGTTTATCGTTATCTTGGGCACACCTATAATACTTCGGACTTATCAAGAAACTCTCAGTATAACATCAGTTACATCAAACAGTTCCCCCCCCACCCCCCTCCTAGCCATTGTATAATATTGATATGTCAAGCAACCAGTTCGTGTTGTATGCATCCCTCATGTTGTATGTTTGACTAGGGCTATTGGGTAAATTGAACAAATCCACGACAGCGAGAACACTGTTACCATTAAAATTTGACTCATGTTGTAGTCTATGTTAATAGGAAAAATATTATCTTTGATATAAATATTAAGCATTTTCTGATGATATTTACTTTTGTTCATAATGTTTATATTTTACTTATTTATTTTCCATTTATTTGGTTTCAGGGATGGGAGCATTTTCTATTACCTGATATGCAAATCAAGATTTATGCATCAAACAGAATTTAAACTAACACTTTTTTTCCAGACAACCTTACAAAGGCTTCCAGGAGCAAAGCAAATAGGGTGTTGTATGCTGTTTTGTCTTTGTAAGGCTTGGATTGTTTGTTAACAATTTTCTTTTCAACTGTAATTATATTTACCCCCTATCACTAAAACTATCATCATCCATATTTCACCTACCAAGGCATACAGCATCTCTTATTGGGTTTACAATTAATTGTAAATGACGCCAGTCAGCTGTAAAAATATGTGTCCTACGTGGAAGAGAAGCAATTGTATCCAGCTGTTTGCCATTAATGTAACGGCCAATACCAAGAGCAAAGATCTTGACACCTTTGGCTTTTAGGTATCTGGATGGTCTGGATACATCATCCTCTGATGGACCATCTGTCAAAAGAACCACTACTCTGGTACTTCTGCTTCTACGACGATTCCTACAAGCACAAAAATATGACATAAAAGCATTAGAAATTAATATGTCTCATATGGCTAACTAATAACAAAATATTGCTTTTATTATCAATCACTTTCTGTCTTGAGGTTTTTCGTCTAAGGGATTGCATATCACATTCAACACATAAGTTTTACTATATGTACTAAGTACTATAACAGCTAGCTAGTACTATAACAGCTAGCTAGTACTATAACAGCTAGCTAGTACATGCCTTATGTCATAAGCCTGAAGTCAGTTGGAGATATAGAAAATGTTTGATAAATATAAAGTCCTAGTACCAAACATTGAAAATACTTGACATTAGAGAAGGCCTATCTATGGGTCTAAAATCATAACATTTTTTGATAAGATATTGGTCAATACAAATTCCTAAGAATTTTAGCAAAAATTATGTCATTTATACTCCTTCCTTTTGTTCTTTCATATTTCAATACAAGATTTCTCTTTTATATGATGACTCCAAAACAAAACAAGACAAGTTTTTAATAGGTATAAATGAGTTTTCTATCAATGAACATAGCTCCCCACCTCATATTTTCTGTCTTCTTATCTATTCACTAGATCATATATTGTACTATATTAAGTGCTTGCGTAATTGTATGATTAACACAAGTCATTATAATACCTTGAGAAGATTCTGTTAGCTGCATATAGTGCTCTACCAGCTCTTGATCCAGATTGTGGATTTTTAATATATTTTCCCAATGCATTGAATAATCCACCATTATTTTTATAGCTATTCAGKCCAAAAATGGTCCTGGCATAGGTACCAAAGACAATCAAGCCAACTCTGGTATATGTCCTTGATACCAGAAAACCAGCAGTGATGTGAYGCACCATGGCAATCTCTCTGCGGAAATTGCCAACACCATGACGTTCTATGCTTCTTGAGCCATCCACAAGGAAAATAATATCTAATGGAGCTCTGCATGCTGAGATATTTTAAAACAGGTATTATTTATTGAAATATAATTACTGATTTAAGAAAACATATTGAACCATTTTAATGTATATTACTTCCATATTTTTTAAGTGGTATTAATAGTTATCAATATATTGAAAAGCATAGGAATTGTACCTGCAGGGGCTGTTGGCTTTGCTGTTGCTGTGGAAGGAAAATGATAGATTTATTTAGTGCATGACAGTGTGTCTTTATGAAAGAGCGTAGCCTATATCTGCTATATCCTATATATCGCGATATAGGCTAGTGGTCGGGAGGCTTTTGTGTGACATCTTCGATACATTTGTCATGAAGCTTCAAAGTAGCCATCGATTCTGGCACATTAAGCATAAATCCAACACTTATTTTAGAACACTACTAAAATTCATAATTTGCGTACATGTACGCTCACTCTCCACTCTCTTCTTGCTGTAAAACAACACGAAACAGGAGAAGACCAATCGATTACTTGTCCTTACTTAAGTATTTCAGTATATAAAGCGTGAGTTTTTCGAATAAAGTGCACAGAAGACTGCTATCAAGCAAAATTCGGTCGATGTTATAGTGTTTACGAATCACGATCGACTGAAATTTCCCGCCAAACTCTTCAGAACGAGGCTAAAAGCGCGAGCGCAAATAATTGCAACTCGTGGATTCAATAGTAGTGTGTTTGAAATGACTTTGCTATATAAAATCAGGCAATAAAAATCTGAAAAATAACATTTACAAATAGAAAGAGATTATTTGAACTTGTGACTGTTTTCCTTTGTCTTTCAACGCTTAGTTCTATTTTTTGGTGTATGATGCTGAAATTTCACTAAAGCTAAAAAAAACTAAAGAAATAAACTCCGATAAAATCAGAAGTACATGGTATAACGAAGAAATTAATAAGCGAATTATCCAAACTAAATATGAGTTCCCAAGAGTGTTCAAATAGCCACGTTCGTCACCTGAATTTCCATTAATGTAATAATCATTGTGGCTCTTATAATACTTACGGCAAGGTGGACAAAATGGAGACTTTGGACGAACAATCAACGGCTTTGGTTTTAAGATAAGAGGTCGGGGCCGCATGGGGCTGGTATCCAGTCGATCTGGTATCTCTGAGTTGTCGCTGCTTAAGTCATGATGAGACTGCTCTGGTATTTCATTCAGTCCTGGACCTGGTAGTTTAGCCTGACTTGCTGCAGTCCTCTGTGCTTTTTGTTCAATGCTATCTATAGCGTCAATTGCTTTGTCGTGATGTATTTTGTGCGTGCTTGGGGCTTCTTTAACAGGAGGAGCATTGGAGTTTGAATCTATAGGTGCACCTTTTAAAGCAGCTAGGTCTTGCTCTACATCTTCAGTGTGACCACCCAAATCGTGTCTCTTGCTGCTGCTAGCATTGACTGTTTTTGTAACAACAGGGTCGATGGACTTAATGCTTGCGCTTTCTTGTGGCTCTAAAGCAATTTCACTGATGTCGTCTTCAGATGACTCCTTTTTATTTTCCTTTCGTATATGCTCGAAAACTGTATGTTCTGGCTTTACCTCGTGATCGATGGTAGCGTTTTCCTTCTGGCCGACGTTAGAATTTGCTGTTGTTTCTTCGTGGTCGATGGTAGAATTTTCTTCTGAAGAAGATGCAGCGTCGACATGAAACTTAGCTTCTTCAGCTTGAGTGTCATTGGACGGTTCAATTGGATCAATTGAGGTAGCGTTAGAAGGTCTTTCTTCCTTTGCTGGTTCCAGGGAGTCTTTAGCYTGTTGAACATCAATYGAGACTGTTGCACCTTGAGCATGACTTTGCCTACCAGTGTCACTGACAGCAACTGATGCATGCTTGCCGATGGCTAAGTCTACCGGGACAACTGACTCAACCTTTGGTGACTGGTCTGAAACCACTGGCTCCGTAATAACATCACTTTGCTCTGCAATAGTGACGTTATTCTTGGGCTTTCCGGATTCAGTGCTGTCCTTCTGTGCCATGGGAAGGAAACTGTACAGAGACAAAAAAACGTTATGGAAAAGCGTCATACACTGGAAAAAATCGCGCGCTTTAAGGGTTGTAAATTTGATGTAAAAACATCATGTAAGTGTCCAAAATTCTGTAAATTTAATGGAAATCATTTACATTCAAATTTACAGAATTTTGGACACTTACATTTACAACCTTTGAAGCGGGCGATTTTTTCCAATGATATGAGGTGATTGATAGCACAATTATTTGATATCTACGTAGAGGCCGCACAGAGATACGAATTTGATCTTCATATGTTGTATCAGTCTATCACTTTGTATTTCTATCACACAAGTTAGTACATTTATACATAGCCTTACTTGTAAACTTCATTTCCCCAAGGACCACCTTCGCCATCGGCTAAATAATTAAAATACTATAATTAGACCGTTTACTTAAAAATTTGATTTTTTTAACTGAAGTTATTTAGACGTCTTTGCGAATAACAAGATAAGTGATTCTTACCGCGGCAAGTAACGCTCCTGCCATATTTCATATATGTCTTTTCAGCACCCTTGGCGCCGAAGCACTGACCACCATTTTGAACAGCGAACATTCTGAGGCCCAGTGACTTGGCTGCTTTGGCGCACTTCATAAGAGCGTTGCTCCTTGTCTTGTAGTCAGGCTCTTTCAAGAACGCGGACTTTCCTTCCAGTAGAGGGATAGCGCGACTCCAAGTGTCACGCCAACACCCAGCACTTTTGAACTCTAAAAAAAATGTCAACTTTAAAAATTTGTCTCAGGTCATTTCCTTCTAAACAGACACTTCCACTAACAATAATGATTCGGGTTATTAAGAGTAACAAGAGCTTAAGAGATTGCAATGATGTAATAGCTAATTTGATAGCCATAGTCGATGCTATTGTTAGTCAGTGATGTACATAATAATGACAGTGTTGACTATCACGATCAATATTAAAAGAARTACATGTACTTCTGATCTTATAAATTGTTTGAATGGATTCATAAACATACGTTGTCCATCGACGTCATAAACCTTATTCCTGTTTGGTGGCTGATTTTCTGCCATCAGGGACTGGGTTTGATGAAGCGTCGACGACTGAGGAATAGCTCCGGCTACTTGCTGACGAACGCCGCCTTGACTGTTGACCGGACCGCAGGGTGGTCGATCTGTTTAAATACATATCATGAGATATTATTTTCAAAATTTAAACATTATCACTTGAAAAAGTGATTTCATGACAGAATGGGCTTCTGACCCGTAGGACGAATGGCAAAAGGAAAACAAAGCAGACGAACCGTGACGAGAGAAATGGAGGAGGTTGAAAACCAATTGCACAAGGTACAACAGGTAGCAATGGATCGTGAGTAAAAACAATTGTGTATGGAAGAAAGATGATTACCTTACTGTCTTAATGGTTGGAACAAATAGTTGTAGGAATGATACATCAAGGGTGCGTCAATGATGAAATATTGTAACATAAGTAACGCACATGCGCCGTACTAGCGATTCTTAAAGGTATGCAATGTGTAATCCCTGGTGTAATCGTAATCGAACCGTACGTACCTGGACAATAAGCCCCTTGCGGACAGCAAGGAACTTGTTGATTGGCAGCATAATTTGGATAATTATAAGCTGCAAAAATAGTGTCCTTAATTAATTGAATTTAMAAATTCACAAAAATAAATTAAATTTGAAGTAAAATGACAAACATACCTATATACTGCCTTTTCTGATTTTCCTCAGTCCTATTTTTCTCGTTTGAGGTACCTTTTTTCCCCTCAACAAGTATCACTATTATAAGTAAGCAACTTATCAACTTGTAAGTACCCATGTTGAGTYTCTGTGAAAATATTTCATGCATTTTATTATTTTTGATCATTAATACAAAAAGCAAGAAAACATACTTCATGCTTATTCATTAAAATGATAGGCAAACAATACTGAGTTGAAAATCAGAAATAAATTTGATTTCTCCAAAGTGATCAGGTTTCCATTTACCAGGCTATGTATTGGGAATTTGTTTGGTCTCCAATACGTTCTCCAAAAATATACAGTTATTTGAATTTAATACTTACTAGTATAACATCATTTACATTTATTTTCAGATTAATGAATTGACAAATAAAAAATTTGATTTTTTCATATTTATTATAAACAGAATATTACATGCTGGCTTGAAGATCTGTGCACGTCCATGTAATGTCCTCTATATATTTCTTATTATTCGATATATTTTCATATCTATTTTCGATATATTCATCAATGCCGGATCCATGGAATGATTAGGGTGGTTACCTATTTTTTTTTTTTTTTAGGATTCACAAGTATCCTTTCGATGTCGAAATAAAAATTTTGACATAAATAAACAAAAGAGGAAATATAATCTGAATGAGAGGCATTCTGAAAAACAACTAAARCAGCGTTCATACTAAAGAAATTTTCATTTTTTGCAGCTCTAATTCTACTCAATTGATATTTAATATTGAGTTAGCCACCCCCTTCCAAACGGCTTAGATAATCAGACATGATACTAGTATATTTCATCCATTTCAATACAACCAAAGTGGATACTAGAAATATTGAAAACACCACTTCCGTGCTAGTTTATAGTTGGCTCGACACTTTTAACATGAAGCTTTAATTTTTTATGCACTCAAAGGACTTGTTAATTCAATGATCGCTCAAGTTATAGTGTAATCTTTCAAACATTTAAAACGGACTACCAGTAACAAATGAACTACAAAAGAACACCCAACCGATCTACCAAACGTTGTTTGTAAACAATTTTGATTAAAAACGTGGGGACTACGAAAACCGAAAAGAGCGGCTAAGCCCGACGAAAAATAAGTGTTAGGTTGATTCTGTACGGTTTTTCGTTCTGAACTACTTTCTATAAGTTATCTGACTGCTTTTGAATCAAATTAAAAATTGAGATTTTTGCCTTTAGAGTTTTGCAAAGAAAGAGTCTTTCTTTGTCTTAAAAAACGAAATCTATATACAACTTTCAATGAATCGGATTTCTGATCAATACTTTGGCAAAAATAAATTTAYTGAAACGATAATAATTTTTAACTGATTCTCGGGTTGAAAGAAATGTCATGAAAGAAATTTTACGGTTTTTTCTCAAGTTAACAGCTTTCGAGTGACTTGTATGAATTATTGAAGAAGTACGTCTATCAATAGGTCATTCACGAACAAAGGAAGAAAATTAACCTCATTCTTATAAAGATTAAAAGACAAAATGGTTCAAGTAAAAAGGGTGATCCAATAAGAACATGCAATTTATCTTGTCTCCGCGTATCTTTCGTTCTAAAGAACTAGGTAACACTGACTAGATTGCATAACAAGAGGAAAATATGAGATTTTCTGTGATACACACATTTTCCTTTCAATTTCTTTCCTTTCAAAAACGTTTTCAGAAATACAGAAGCAAAAAAAAGATGTTAACACAAATAAGGATTATGCCTTTAACTAGGTATTATTGCGTACACATAGGAGATGAAATTGAAAGCAAGTTGCATAACAACAGCTTTAGACAAGCAATAAAGAAATTGTTAACTAACGAAATATATATTAACAATAATTCGCTAAGTTTGATGTAAGTTCTGGATGAAATCATACCTTTTAAATTTGGAACTATACTGTGAAAGTCTTCTAAGTTAGTCCATGATGAGAATCTCCTTAGACCACGCTATACACGGGTCTTCATCAGAGTCCACTCAGAACTGATTAAAAAAACACAGTTTTAAAAATATATTCTTGCGAGACCTGTAGAAACCGTTTAAAAAAACTAAAACAACGATAACATAACTGGTGCACAAGCCTCGCTTGCAAGTAAGAAAGAAAACATTTAAACAACTACTTTATTTATTAAAACTCAGTTTTTATCCCATTAAATTCGATCTTTCACTAAGGAAACAGACCATTTTACATGGTAATAAAATACTTTATCTGTCCTACAGAACTGGTTAAACATGTTTTTTGTAGTTTTTGATAAAATGGCAGGTACCAGGTCAAATTTTAAAAGAAACCGTTTCATGTTTATAAATACAATTTGTTACCGCTAAAAAAAATCAAATACCGCGAAAAACTTGACCCAAGTCCGTGATTGGTTTTAGAATTGCATCACATGAATATTTAAATATTAAACGATGATTGAAAATCCGATCATAGTTATTGTCTATACTGGTTGTAATTGTGCACAATCCAAAAATCAATCCACAGAAATAGGACATGTCCTTCGGGGGCGTAATCAGGTAAACTTTAGAGGACACACATTGTAAACATTCTTGCGGAAAAATCGTATAATATATTTTCATAACTTTTTCCAAAATCTTTGTTAAGGTGCGCTCCCTCCTTCCCTAGCCTAGTGTTATACTTGTATCATAAGTAAATAATTTGCAACTTATTTTCAGGAAAATTACCCAATTTTATTTTTACGAAGCCTTTGGGATCCTTTTAGAAAAACACATATCCGAAAAGCAGACTGGTGTGTTCTAACGAATCCATTGTAGCGGAATCAAGTACTTATTAAAAAAAAAGATAAGTATTCCATGCTGCGGTAATAATTGCGTGATCCAAGGAATGAAAGTCCCGTGTGTTTGTCTGAAAATATCAGCACACGGTTCATCAAAAAAAAACAATTTACGATAACTTACTTTGTTTAATCCTCCGTCATAATTAATCTCCTTCAAAAGCAGGTATGCCTGTATGAGGTCTCTGAGGTATCATGTCCTTGAGCGGAGGGGCCATATCTTTCCCCAAAGAGCCTGATACCCAGCTATGGTATCCAGCGTGGACTTCTGAATCCTAAATGTTTCAAAATGTTAAATGGTCTTGAATGTTAAATGCCTCAAAAATATGCTGTGAACGGATATTAACGTACAATATTTATGTTATYATTTTAATGCATCAAATTGTCAAGGATAATAGTATCTGTAAGCCCCTCTGTCATTACTCAAACAGCTTCACAGTAGATTCGTTTGCGTGAAAACGAAGCTGTAAATGAGGAGAGATTAGTTTGATACTCAAAAAATTCTAAATTAGTCAGGAATCAGTATCTTTATTCTTAGGGCCATACATTTTGCTTATAGGAATGTTCTCTTTTGTTTTGCTTTTTTGTGTGTTCTTTTAAGCATTTTATGACATTCGTCTTTAAAAATTACATAACTGATGTGTTCCTGCTACTGATGAATCCACCAAAAACAACACAAGTGCCGTTCATGGAAGGTTAGCAAAGTATATCTTTAACTGCTTCTATAAAAACTGAGCGATTAGAAAGCAAAAGAAAAATAAATTATAGAATTTTCATGATATCATTGCAATTATTTGGACAATGCGAATTTATCTAGATGGTACAAAGCACCAAATAAAATCTTCTGTTTGCATGTACATGTATGTATGTCTTGCCTGATCCAAAATTTAGTGGGACCACAGGAAGCCCGCTTTTTGCAGGTTGTGCCCAGGTCACTCATGATACGAGTGGTGCAAATTCAAACAAATCGGACAAAATACATGTACTCGACATTCCAAAAATTTGGCATTCAGTATTTCAATACATACTTTTTACAGTTTGTACGATTTGTTGTATTTAATTATTGAAACATCGAATCTCKAAGTATAACTTGTCTCCGTGGCGCAATCGGTTAGCGCGTTCGGCTGTTAACCGAAAGGTTGGTGGTTCAAGCCCACCCGGGGACGCTTTTTTTCTCTACAATTCTCAACGTTTTTTTTCTTCCTTTTTTTTGTAATAAAACCTTAAGTAGCATTTTTATGTTKCATTTTAAAGATAGTGAAAGACATTTAATACCCCGACTACTTAACAATTAGACCTAGAAGGCGAGTAAAGGCTGATAGCCCATGAGTCCGATCGACCATACTAGCCGAGATCGTTTTAACACACTTGGCATGTTTAACAAGTGAAAATTGATTTACTACACGCTGGTGAAAGCTAGTTTGAGTGAACAAACTTTAAATGGTCCTTAACACATTGTTTTGATCAACATATTTCTAAAAGAAAATCGAAGCTGGCGTTTTTCACTAGTTGCCGAGTAGGGTAGCCAATCAGAATGTAGGAAATTTCAATGGTCCACTAGTATGGTAATACTAAATAGTGAAATAAAGCAAAAAATAAATAAATAAATAAAATAAAAAATAAAATGAAATGAATAGTGATAAAGCGTGGTAACTGACTACGCGTTATGTTTCAAAAAAAGATTTGATCAGAATATAAAGAATATTATAGAAGATAGGAAGTGTAACATTCAGTGAAAAATGAAACTAACAGGAAACTTATTTGAGTTTTTATTTGCAAACCGATCTAGTGATACCTTATTTTCTAGCCATCTTAAAAGTTACCAAAAACAATTCAAATCGGTATTTTGGAATAAGATGGAGTTTTTTTCGATAGATGAATCCTAAAAATAGATACAAGAAATTGTTCGAACCCTAGTTTATAATGAAACTCGTCTGGAGCATGCAAATRTTTACTGTGCTGCAGAAACAGTAGTTTTAGAGCGGAGGTGTTGAGCTCTTCTATTAGAAGCATTTGCGATGGACAATGGCTGCACCAGATTCATCATACTCTTGCTTGGAGATCCACATCTGTTGGAAGGTGGACAGGGAAGCAAGGATGGAKCCTCCAATCCATACAGAGTATTTTCTTTCTGGTGGAGCAATGATTTTGATTTTCATGGTTGGGGGTGCAAGAGATGTAATTTCTTTCTGCATACGGTCAGCAATACCAGGGAACATAGTTGAACCTCCTGACAAGACGGTGTTAGCATACAAGTCTTTACGGATATCGACATCACATTTCATGATGGAGTTGTATGTAGTTTCATGGATTCCTGCAGATTCCATACCCAAGAATGAGGGCTGGAACATTGCTTCTGGGCATCTGAATCGCTCATTACCAATAGAAACCATTTGTCCATCAGGAAGTTCATAGCTCTTCTCTAGACTTGAGCTTGAAGCAGCTTGACGCGATTCTTCTTCAAAGTCWAGGGCAACATAGCACAGTTTCTCCTTGATGTCACGGACAATCTCACGCTCAGCTGTGGTGGTGAAAGAGTAGCCACGTTCTGTCAGGATTTTCATCAGGTAGTCAGTCAGATCTCGGCCRGCTAAATCAAGACGGATGATAGCGTGGGGTAGAGCATATCCCTCATAGATAGGTACGGTATGAGAGACACCATCACCACTGTCGAAGACGATTCCGGTGGTTCGGCCTGAAGCGTACAGAGAAAGTACGGCTTGGATTGCTACATACATAGCAGGGCTGTTGAAGGTTTCGAACATAATCTAAAAATCAAGAAATACAAATATTATGGAAAACAAATTCAACAAACATTCTACCTCCTCATTTGCATATTCGAGATCCCTTGAGATGACACATGCGTACTGAACATCACAAAATAGGACAAATGATAAAATAAAAGCATAAAAAGAAGCTTATACTGCATAAATAAAGCTTTAGAGCGGAATGCATATCAAAAGTATATATTAAAACTAATTAGTTAAAAGAAAAATACAAAAAAAGAGTGAACATGACATTTGTATAAATAAAAACTCACAAAAACACTTAAAAAACTATAAAAAAACTATATCGATATAATACTTAAAACAGTGAAACAAACAAAAATTGATAAATGTAGATAAAAACATCGACAGAAAATGTATATCAAAACGAACATGAAGAATGGTTGAAATACATTTTTAAACTTGTTCGCATAAGAAACGATGTGATGTGTCATAGATATTGATGTCCTTTGATATTTGTTGAATTTGTGCTTTGTATTTTTAAACATTTAAAAATGTCAAAACTCAGAAGAAATGATAAATTAGGAATAACCATAAAGAATTCTCATGAGTATGAATAATAAGAGTCAGTAATAAATAACATATATAGGGACGTAAAATTCTAGATTACTGAATCAGAGTTTATTCTAATTATAATTGCGTATAYAAGTTCTTAAAACCAGTTAACAATTTATAATATGAAAAAACTAATGGTGTCAGACTAAATAATGTTCATAAAACTTTCCACTTAAAGAAAATTAAAGAGAAAAAAACAGACATTTTTACAGTACATATACATAGTTCCAAAAACTTTCATTTTTCTCATTTATGCTGTACTGCATTCACAGGCTAAACCAACTCCCAAAATTAGAAACGTCTGACCAATGAGAGGATATATTGCCATATTAGGTTAGGCAAAGTGAGTATCATTGTTGGATAATACAAACAGTTCAGTGTTAAATGGAGTGTGAAAATCATAACATATCTTTTGGTTTTTGTCAAATTTCAACAAATAAAAGGTTAGGAAAATTAGAATTGGTTTGTTTGCAAAGTTAACAGCCCTGAATGTATACTCAAAAAATGCATGTAAGAACTTCAAGCATGTCATATAAAGTTTCAAAACAATTTCGTTGACATTAGCGAAACCATTACATTGTCAGATAGTTTTGCATGGATGGTTATAATAACATATCAAACATCAACTCTATCGAAACTAAAAAGGAAAGCATCTATATAGTATGATAACAAAAAAAGAAAAGATAATAGTGCATATCTTTGTTAAATCTAACCTGTGTCATTTTTTCTCTGTTGGCTTTGGGGTTCAATGGAGCTTCCGTCAATAAAACAGGATGCTCTTCTGGCGCGATTCGGAGTTCGTTGTAAAAGGTGTGATGCCAGATCTAACATAAATAAGATACGTTGATAAACACAATTGTTAATTAAGAACATGRATATGATAGCTGTACCTTCTCCATGTCATCCCAGTTTGTGACAATTCCATGCTCGATGGGGTATTTCAGGGTAAGGATACCTCTCTTGCTCTGTGCTTCATCGCCGACATAGGAGTCTTTCTGGCCCATACCAACCATTACTCCTTGATGCCTTGGACGGCCAACGATAGATGGGAATACTGCACGAGGTGCATCGTCCCCAGCGAAGCCGGCTTTACACATACCGGATCCATTGTCGATAACAAGAGCGGCAACATCATCATCGGCCATTTTTAAAATTTAACAATCTTAACAGACAATTTATACTAGACAGCTCAGGACTACACTTAAAACTAAGTAAAAGCTTTGAGTGTTATCTATCGTTTTTATAGCGCAGGACTCCATAGTGGTTGCTATTGATAATTTCCTAAATAATAATAACATAACCCATTCAGAAACCACCTGTTCTCTCAATGTTAATACAGTCTGAGCATAAGTCATCATCGGCCAGTCTTGTCTTTCCATTTCCCTAAAAAAWCTCMAACATAAAGTCTAAACGCAACAAGCCCYAACTACTGAAAAAGAGCATCTTTGGAAAGCGAAGTTTGAATTTCATAAGTAACGCAACAAAAACCTCACACAATATCAAACAATAATAAACTTTAGTTTCAAACTTCAAAAGAATATTTAAAAGCAAACGATTTATTAAAGTATTTCAATTTCATATCTAGTTAAAACTTTCACAGGATTATATTTTAGTTTCTTTATCTTGAAAAACATTTTAAAGCTACAATATGCAAAACTATTGATGTCACGCGGAAGCTTCCAGTCCTGCGTGACGCATATTTAATGTTGGAAATTTTTATTCAGCTTATTCTTCAATAAAAACAATTTTATATGTTACCATAATTGGTCAGGTTTATTTTACAGCAGATTACCTCTTGGCAACGTAACACCAACGAATAATTCATAAATACATGTTTTCACTCATTGCCATATATAGTATGATCAAACTCACTCAAAACATTTATAAATAACAAAAATATAACCAGAATTTTCACCGTTTAAACGTTTTTCAGTAACTAAGATCTAGCTTTTATTTAACCTGTATTTAACTAAATATTTTATTATTTTTTTGCGAACAAGTAGATGGCATATTAGCTTCTATGGTGCAGGTTTGATAATTCATAAACAATGTGCAAACTTTTCACGAAAAGCTTACATAATWTGAACTTTTTCCAGTTTGTTCCTTGTGCTACGTAAGCATCTTGCGATAAAAAAAGGAGAAAAGGTGCAAGAGTGCGAAAAAATTAACGTAATTATTTCAAGTCACACAAGAAGTTATATTTTGCATAGGAAAGTGGGATACTGTGTATATATTTAAATAGAGTGAGAGAATACCATATTCTCACAACGCTCCAAATGATGCTAAAAGTTTTCGATACTTAACGAAGTTTTGTAATGTTTTAATTCAACCATGACGATATCATATGGGTTTAGGTTTACACGCAACCGTGACGTTTCACGTATCGGCGTCGTTTATACAAGCACTTACAAAGCCAAAAATTCACCTGAGTGTATTCGGAATGAATATTTTACCTATGAGTATTTTACGGTTATTTTTTCAAAATGTAAAAAAAGATTAATCAAAAATTTCAAAACTTTTTTGATAACTAATAATTTGGGATCGAATATTGAGTTACTAGTCCAATGTACAGAATGTATTTTTTTCAAACTTTGGCAAACGGCAAATGCAAATGCCATTAACCTGTTATGKGTTGTTTATTGTACTAAAAACAATGGTTTGAGCATAATGCCATAAGACATTCAAAGTTATCGCAAACAAAAGCATTAGAAATACCACTTTAATAAAACATGCCACAAAATAATTGCTTTTGAGCTCTATTGACTCAAACCAAAAACTTAAACGTTTCATCGAATTTCGATTACTTGGGCTTGTGCAGAATGCAAACGAACTAACGGCTATAATTCTTACGAAATRTCTAGAAAATGACAATACATTCCTTATGCAAAAATGACAAAAGATTTGAGAGTTTGTTGGATGACGTAAYTATGTTGGCTTGTAGTGCCCGACTTGTCATGACATGAAGAACAATCCTGAAAGGAATCATGCGTGATTTGTTAAACATACTTTAGCTRAGATCTTGATAATTCCTTTTTAGGATATAGATAGTCCATTAATAATAACCTTGCTTTGCTCACACGTTATACATTACCATGCTGTGTGACTATTGGATGTCGTAATCTATAACGTCATCACCGAACGATTCACGGCCGAGTGGTTCCCGATTCAACTGACTATAAATACGCCCTCTTGCAAAGAAACTGCACAGTCAATTTTCTGCCTTGGAGTAAACTGTACAAACTAGCTTCTCAATTCAAAACTACTGACAAAATGGCCGATGATGATGTTGCCGCTCTTGTTATCGACAATGGATCCGGTATGTGCAAAGCCGGTTTCGCTGGGGACGATGCTCCTCGTGCAGTATTCCCATCTATCGTTGGCCGTCCAAGGCATCAAGGAGTAATGGTTGGTATGGGCCAGAAAGACTCCTATGTCGGCGATGAAGCACAGAGCAAGAGAGGTATCCTTACCCTGAAATACCCCATCGAACATGGAATTGTCACAAACTGGGATGACATGGAGAAGGTACAGCTATCATATTCATGTTCTTAATTAACAATTGTGTTTATCAACGTATCTTATTTATGTTAGATCTGGCATCACACCTTTTACAACGAACTCCGAATCGCGCCAGAAGAGCATCCTGTTTTATTGACGGAAGCTCCATTGAACCCCAAAGCCAACAGAGAAAAAATGACACAGGTTAGATTTAACAAAGATATGCACTATTATCTTTTCTTTTTTTGTTATCATACTATATAGATGCTTTCCTTTTTAGTTTCGATAGAGTTGATGTTTGATATGTTATTATAACCATCCATGCAAAACTATCTGACAATGTAATGGTTTCGCTAATGTCAACGAAATTGTTTTGAAACTTTATATGACATGCTTGAAGTTCTTACATGCATTTTTTGAGTATACATTCAGGGCTGTTAACTTTGCAAACAAACCAATTCTAATTTTCCTAACCTTTTATTTGTTGAAATTTGACAAAAACCAAAAGATATGTTATGATTTTCACACTCCATTTAACACTGAACTGTTTGTATTATCCAACAATGATACTCACTTTGCCTAACCTAATATGGCAATATATCCTCTCATTGGTCAGACGTTTCTAATTTTGGGAGTTGGTTTAGCCTGTGAATGCAGTACAGCATAAATGAGAAAAATGAAAGTTTTTGGAACTATGTATATGTACTGTAAAAATGTCTGTTTTTTTCTCTTTAATTTTCTTTAAGTGGAAAGTTTTATGAACATTATTTAGTCTGACACCATTAGTTTTTTCATATTATAAATTGTTAACTGGTTTTAAGAACTTGTATACGCAATTATAATTAGAATAAACTCTGATTCAGTAATCTAGAATTTTACATCCCTATGTTATTTATTACTGACTCTTATTATTCATACTCATGAGAATTCTTTATGGTTATTCCTAATTTATCATTTCTTCTGAGTTTTGACATTTTTAAGCACAAATTCAACAAATATCAAAGGACATCAATATCTATGACACACATCGTTTCTTATGCGAACAAGTTTAAAAATGTATTTCAACCATTCTTCATGTTCGTTTTGATATACATTTTCTGTCAATGTTTTTGTCTACATTTTTATCAATTTTTGTTTGTTTCACTGTTTTAAGTATTATATCGATATAGTTAAGTGTTTTTGTGAGTTTTTATTTATACAAATGTCATGTTCACTCTTTTTTTGTATTTTTCTTTTAACCAATTAGTTTTAATATATACTTTTGATATGCATTCCGCTCTAAAGCTTTATTTATGCAGTATAAGCTTCTTTTTATGCTTTTATTTTATCATTTGTCCTATTTTGTGATGTTCAGTACGCATGTGTCATCTCAAGGGATCTCGAATATGCAAATGAGGAGGTAGAATGTTTGTTGAATTTGTTTTCCATAATATTTGTATTTCTTGATTTTTAGATTATGTTCGAAACCTTCAACAGCCCTGCTATGTATGTAGCAATCCAAGCCGTACTTTCTCTGTACGCTTCAGGCCGAACCACCGGAATCGTCTTCGACAGTGGTGATGGTGTCTCTCATACCGTACCTATCTATGAGGGATATGCTCTRCCCCACGCTATCATCCGTCTTGATTTAGCTGGCCGAGATCTGACTGACTACCTGATGAAAATCCTGACAGAACGTGGCTACTCTTTCACCACCACAGCTGAGCGTGAGATTGTCCGTGACATCAAGGAGAAACTGTGCTATGTTGCCCTWGACTTTGAASAAGAAWYGC